GTCGCGCCGGGATCGGGCAGGGTCAGTAGAACGTGCTTGTGTACGAACTGTCTGCAACTGTCATTCACCTCACGGCACACCACGTGTGCCAGGAGAGATATTTCCGTCCGCCCCGTGTGCGGGAAAACGTTGCAGACGAGGGTGGGTGAAGGACCGGAAAACTTCGCCGGAGAGATTTTCACGCGGAGATTTTCGGATCTCGTGACTGACAGGATATATATACACATGGGAACGCGAAGAATAGCCGTCACTACTCGAATCGAGAGAGAGATACGAAGAAAGAAGAGAGAGAGACAGAGAAAGAGAGAGAGAGAGAGAGAGAAAGAAGAGAAAGAAAGAACACGTGATTCTTTCTCAAACAATCCGCAAACTTCCTAATGCGGTTCACGTTGAAATATAGCGTTTTATTGATTTGTAGCAAAGGTGATGCCTCGAATTATTATATAGTCGCAACAAAGTATCGGTTTATAGTCTGAAGTAAACATAGATTGTATACACTCGTCGAATGCTCATTATACAAATTACTTACAACATTATTAATATATCACACACATATCTTACGCGTGTTTACGTACATACATAATTATTATAATCTATAAATAATGATTCTCTTTGCTAAATCTGACAGAGCACGAACAAAGAGAGACCAGAGAATCTCTTCGCTAAGAATTCGTCAATGTCAACGGCGTATCGTATCGCGCGTAGACACCGCGCGATAACTTTATCGGGATGTAATCGCTGAAGTCGAGGGGACGCGTCGGATATCACCATCGGGGTGAATTCTCTCGATCTCTCCCTAAGTGATGTATAAAGAATAAAAGACGATCATGCTGACCTCGAATCGCGCGGGTTATCAAATCTCGCGTTGCGTGGCACAGCGTTTCCCCAACCCGATACGCATCGGAACGTGCCGATGCGCTGGCTGTTGACGACTCAATGCACACGGACGACACGGTGATGGTGATCGAGTGGTATGTTCGAAACGTGTTCCCAAGCTCTATGCGACCTTGAACAATGTGCGACGAAACTCGTGAGCAATCGGTATCTGCTTGGTTTTAAATATATTTTTGCAGATATTTTCTCGAATAATTTCGATACTTCAAACAAAACAACTTATACAGTTAAAAAATTTGTTTTCATAGTCTAAAGTTAGTCTAATGTAAAATAAAAGAAAAGCGCATATACAAAAAGCTACGTCGTAGTGTTTTGCAATTACGATCTTAGCGACGTAACTTCCGCGTGGTAATTCCTCTAAATTTCCCAGACAGTGAGGTAGGTCGGGCATAATCTTTCGTAGCGCCGTGTTTCTATACTAATAGCTCACGGTAGAAGCAAGAGACCATGTAACGGTGTGACAGCGGTCGGTCCGCGTAAACGTGCAACAACCACGCGTAGAAAAGAGAATGTATTTTCCCTCGTCTCGCGCGCGCACACGATACTTCCCGCATATTTTTCGATAATTTCGCTAAATCTTTCACGAGAAAACCTCCGTAACATTGAGTTTCCGTAATTTTACACGAAAGTACTGGAGCATGTCGCAATCTGAATTTTACGGACTTTTTTATTGTAATGAAATTTCACGGAACGAATTGAATGCATAATCCGAAGAAACTTTATCAAGAAAGATTCTAAGTGGTTTTTATTCCTCGGGGAAAACGAAAATTCTCCGCATCAATATAAACCGAATATATACCGAATTGATTTGAATTATTGATTTAAATCATTTTACGAAGATCATCTTAAATTCGAATTTCAAAAGAGACAATTTTCTCGTGGGTTTTTGTTTTTTTTTTTTTCCTAAAAAAATTTGTTTTTCGATTGTCGTCGCCGGTCGCGACCCGCAAACCCGCGCGAGCTTTGCAGGTTACCGGGCCTCCGGGCGTTGCATCATCGCTTTAATAGAATGACGCGCTCCGTCCGGCCGCCATAACCTCCGCGATCGGTCGACGTTCCCCGCCGTCGACGTTCCTGGGACAGGAGGATAGAAAGCGCGAGAGCAGGAGCAAGCGAAGAGGAGTCGCGTGGCGGAGGAGGACGAGAACGAAGAGGAACAGGAGGAGGGCAGGCAGGATCGGGGTGAACCCCTTATTGATTTTTAGGGTGACACTGTCAACCGGCGGCGAGTGTCGAGTCCCCCGCGACGGGCGACTTCGAAACGACAACGAGCGAGGGAAAAAAAAAAAAATGCGCGCCGGACGGCGACGCGCCATTGCGGGCTCTCGCGAAGAGGAGAGCGTTCTCTCAAACGCTGCGGCTAGCACAGCGATGACATTCTTATTGATGCCGTCAACTAGCCACATCGGTGCGCCGCCGACGACAATTCTAACTAGCCACAGTGTATCTTAGTTGTTACGCACGCCGGGCGAGGCCGTGCGACGTTTTTTCGCCGCGGTTGGCGGCGGTGGCGGCGACGCCAACGGGAGGAAAGAGTAACCGCGGCGCAGTCCCGTTGCGGTCGGGGGTGCAACTCTCTTTCTCTCTTTCTCTCTCTCTCTCTCTCTTTCTCTTTCTGTCCGCGCGCAGGGCCGTACGCGTTAGTGGGTAACGCTCCACGTGGGGGCGAGCTTTGGGCCACCCTTCGTAATCGCACGCGTTCAGCCTTTGACGTCTTTGTTGCGGCGTCGGATACCTATACCTATATCCTATCACGGGGGTGGCTGCCACCTTGGAAACACGAGGGGAACTCTGCACCCTGGGGGAGGGAGGAAGGAAGGAACGAAAGGAGGGGGAGGAGGGTTGCGAAACCCCGTGCTCCACGAGCAAAAACGACCACGAGACCGTAGTAGTGATCGTCGTTGCCCTTTCTCTATCTCTTTCGCGCTATCGCTTTCTCCCTTCCTTCTTTTCCTACTCTTTCTTTCCCTCTCTCTCTCTCTCTCGCTCTCTCTTTCTCTCTATCTAGCTCCTTTTTTATTTCTTCTATTCCCACCCTGCATTTTTCCGCTCTCCCGGCTTCGAGGTAGGCGTCGCGCTGGCGGACGCGAGTGACGCACGAGAAACGTGGCTTCTCGTGGAAACGTGAGTTCGGCGGCGGGTGCATACTCGCTCGCGATTATGCGTCGTCCGTTCGTGGGAGCACGCGGTGTAATCGAGAGAAAGCGCGAATCGGTGGTCGTCGCTCGGATTGGCACGCGCGTCCTGATCGTAAACGACAAATTTTGAGGAATCCTCCGTTGTCTTTGCGCACCGTGTGTGTGTACGGAGTGAAGTGTGAAAAAGAAATCTCGGTCTTCGTGGAGAAGCGCCGTTAAGTTAGCCGCGGTTGCGCGCGACAAGACGCCTGTCGGAGACGACCTCGGCGCGATCTAAACACTGACCCCAGGTAACGTTCGCACGCCGCTCGCAAATTTGAACGTGTCTAAACCATCGGCTGTCACGCGTATATACACGAGCGTCGCTCGCATGCAACAGGCGACACCGCGTTACCAAAGTTTCCTCTTGATTAATCGATCGGAAATTACCGCGTCGGTGTAACATAACATAACCGCGCCGCGTTATATTCGAGTAAATCATTAATAACAACAAATATCGCGTGAGTCTGTCAAAAAAAAAAAAAAAAACAGGCAAAATCCGTCGCGCGCGCGCGCGCGCGCAAACGCGCGACGCCGCTTTCTTATCTCGGGAAATAATTAATTAAGAGAAAGAAAAGAAAAAAATAAAGGAGAAACACGCTTGATCGTCGCACTCACGCGAGAGAAAACAAACGTTCGCGAGGAAAGCGAAGCGCGCACGCCGAGGACATTAGCCGCGAAATTACGCGAAGTGCGGCGCACGCGAGTCACAATCGATACCGGCGAGAGAGAAAGAGAAGAGAGCGACCGCGAGGTGTGCGTTGTAGCGGCGTGTAGCGGGCGGTTTCGACGGCGGTCGGCGATTTTACGACAGTTCGGAGGGGGAAAAAAACCCGCGGAAGTGTGTTCCACCGACGCGGCGTGACGCGAAACGGGATAACGTGCGGACACGCCGCTCGTCGCGCGACGCCTGGCGGTGACGCGAGCCGGCGCGGCGCGTCGCCATTCGCGTGAGACGTGAGGTGGTCGCGCGAAACAACAAAGTACGCAGCGAGAGCGGCACGGTGGAAGGGTGGAAGACGACGGTAGGGAGGAAGAGAGCGAACGATTCTCTCACGGGGGGAAAGAAGAGAGTCGCGTCGCGTCGTTTGTACGCGCGGCGAAGCGTCTTTAATCGCCACCGTCGCGTCTCGTTCTCCCGTCGCACAGGGAAACGCAGAAAAATAGCGGAAAAATGGCAATCCCCTTCGGCGCCCACGCGTGGAATAGCAATTATCGTCTGCGGCCGAGGAAGAAATCCAGTTGACACTCGGGCGTGAGTGGCGAGACCGAGAAGCGAGACGACAGGCGGTGGGAGGACGCGCATACATACAGGGCGAGAGAAGGAGGGCGGAACACGTGGTCCCGCGTTGTGGAGTAAACCAAGGGGGGCGAGGTGCGTGCGTGGCTCGGTTACGTTCCTGGCGCACGTGCGTATGTGCATTTTCACCAAGTGCGTCGACTCGCGATGACATGTGTGACAGAAATCATCGGTAAGTGTTGTTCAACAACAAGCAACCAGTGATCGACGTGACAGTGTGTCGCTGCAGCGGCTTGAAGCCGCCCGCGGTATGTACGGCGATCGATTCGATATGTGCATCTCGATCTCTCGCGCTAAGATATCTCGTAAAACGTCGGCGAGATCTTTTCAAGGATATTCCGAATCAAGAACGAGCTGCTTGTGATAAGAATTTTTATCTTCTGTACTTCAAAGACACAATCGTTTGCGCGTTCGCGCGCGGCGTCGCCAATCCGAGCTACGTTCCTGATCTCGCGGAGTTCGTCTGTTGACTCCGGTGGTGTTTATTCGCGCTCGCTCCGACTCGCTAATCTCCGGTCTCTTTCGCGCTCACGGCTCCGTCGGTTTCTCCCTCCTTCTTCCGCTCCCGCTCGTCGGACGTCGGGGATTATCGCGCGCGCGCGGCGGGCGCACTCGCGGTGTCGCTTGTGTTTGGAACGTCGTGAACTTTTCTGCAATGTGATGACGCGGGGGATGAATGGTTACTAGCGTCATGTCGCAGCAGTGCACGCACCTGGCAGCGGGTGCGCGAGCGGAGCATGCACCGGCCTGAACTTTCTCTGAGTCGACAGCATGTCGCGGCGACGGATTGACGGCCGTTAAAAAAATGCCGGTGACGCGACCACCGCACGACCACCACCGCAGCAGGCTCTTGTTGTTACCGCTGTCACAGTTGTCGTCGCACCGAGACGAGCTCGCTCGCGTATGCGGTGTACCGCGACGAACGATCGCGACTCCTGAAGCGAGCCCGGCGACTTACCGTGCCTTCGTCGCGTGCCGAATGTCGCGCGTCTCGCGCACTGTGTACTCGCGGTAGAGGTTAGGTGTACCGGCACATAACCTAAACGCGCAAGTGTTACGGAGAGTTAACATCGAAAAGAGCGTCGCGCACTTTCATTTTGGGATTTATCGTTTTGCGACAACGATCGGAACGAATTCCCATACGTCAAACGTCGTCGGAGTGCTGATTCTCTGCGCACTGGGTGGTCGGTGAGATGGAATGAGCTGGGTGACCACGGGACAATGAAGGCCAATGGAACAAACAATGGTGAATTTCTTCTGCATATTTCACATTTGACATTGTGCTGATGTGTCACCGTGTTCGTAATGTTTGTCTCGGTGATGAAAGATGTGAATTGTTGCGATGGTATTTACACATCAACACAGTTGTTTATATAGGTTGTGGCTTTGACGCTGTCATAGCTGTGAAGGTGTGGGAAACAGAGTTATTTTTACACTGTGCAGAGAACACACTTGTGTGACAGCTCACACAAATAGTTCGTGATTACTTTTTCTGTCATGAATACATTTTGAATAGATTTGTTCTCAAAGCGTTGATAAATCAACAATTGTAAATAGTAATATGTCTTGAGTACATATGTCTATATTAAGACAGTGGTCAAACCAGTTTATCTGTCAGTGTTATAACATGTGAAATAGTAGTATACATTACTACTATTTCAAATGTAAATTATGTAGCTATATATCATGATGAGAAATATGTTACTCGAATCTTATATTTTCTCTTTTTTATGTCTCTCTTACATTGTTAAATTTATTTTCAGGCTGTAGCCGCCTAAATACGCCATTGGCAGCCACTACCACGCTGGAGGATCCGGGTACGCCAGCCTCCTGGAAGGGCCCGCCGCCCGGTTCGGAGGCATCGCCATTCACACCCAATTCCGTTGGCCAGGGTGGTGGTCCTGGCTCGGGTCCCTACAATAGTACAGGCGGTCCACCTAGCAATGCAGCTTTCCAAGGACCAAGTCCATTTCCCGGTAGTGCCGGCAGTCCGGCAGGTGCGCCACCTTACCAAGGTCCACCTCCTGGCTCGGCGACGCCCCAGTACACTGCTTCTCCCGCACCCAGTGGTTCTTCGACACCAGGTCCTGGTCCACCGCCTAATTCTAGCGGTTTCCCGCCACCTCCAAATAATTCCGGACCTCCGTACAACGGACCGGGTCCCAGTCCGTTTGGTTCACCCTCGGGAGCGCCACCTCAATTCGTCGGCCGACCCGGTTCATCGGGGCCACCGTTCGTTCCTCCAGGCGCCGGCAATCCGCATTTCCCATCACACGGTCAACCATTTGGCGGCCCGCAATATGGTATGCCACCAGGAAGTCCATTCGGACCTGGAGGCCATCCTATGGCAGGTCCAATGGGTCCGGGACATCCAGCGATGATGGGACCTGGAGGGCCAGTTGATCGTCTAGACCAAGGGTGAGTTTTGATTGTCATCAGTCACACGCACGTTCAGGAAGCGAGAAACAATCGTTCTGTATCAATATCTGAGTACGGGACGTAAATATACATAATTGTTATTTTGATGGTCTTATAAAGAGAGAATACTCGCGCGTTTTCTAATCCAAACACGTCTCTCTGAAACTGGTAGATATCGAGACAGCATGATACGTACTCGCTTCTATTTTGCATGTATAATTTACAGTCTTATATAACCGACGATCGGCACATCGCGCTTTAGGGATCGAGAAGCGAACGCGAGGAAGTTTACTAAGAATAATATCAGAACAAATATTATTCCCGCACTCGAATGCAAATCGCGCGATGAACGTGTTTGTTACAAATAATATTTCGCGGGCGCGACGTTACGACGACGTTAAGTTGCACATCGTTTCTAATTAAAAGTCGTGCGTTTTCTAATTTGTGCATAGAAAACTTTGGGGTGAAAGATTTTATGCACCGCGGCGAGAAATGGAGCGCAATTTGTGGAGAAAGTTGCACGCAGCGGCGGTTGCGCTAATGGTTATTAATCGCAGTGAAAGTTGCTATTATTCTGATTTGCAGTAATTTCGGCTTAGAAAATGCGGAATGTTTAGGAAATGTGAACGTTAAACTTTTTACGGTTCACGTTTCCACGTAAAAGCGAATCAACGTAGGAACGTACATTTTGCATATTTTTCCCGTGTGTTGTTCGTTCGCGATATTTGCTGGAAAAAGAAAAAAAAGAATTGTATCCGAGACTTCTTGGATACCACAACCGATAATTTGTAATATCAAATTATACATTGTTAGGCATTTAATAATATACAGCAAAGCACGCGAAATGAAAGAGATACGTGTTAAAAACAAAATATCTTGTTTAATTTCTTGCTGCTCACCCGCAGCTCTCACATATATACCGGTTTTATTGTTAATTCGTTCTCTTTTTCGATTATCACGACTTTCGAGTGTAGAAAGCAATTTTTTTTAACCCCAATTTCGAACACTACATTTTATATACGAAATTGTCTCGATATTTTTTCACAAGCAAATGATACACGGAGTGATTATTCATGTCGTTAAATGTGAAGACGCGTTTAAAGCAGAAAATTCCGGAGATATTTTTTTTTTCCAAAGCGAAAAGATGTGTCCACAAATTGCTGTCACATTATTGAGATATTCCTTGTCTTTGATGGGTCGTCTACATTCTTGTATCCGATAGTCGTGGTCGAGCGCGCACGCATTTGCGCCCTTATCGGAGTCTCGTCTTAATCGTTCATATCGAACGCCCGCACGCTCGACTGACTTATCACGTGCTTCAGACGTCTCTATATATACGTACACACGAAAGCCAGCAGCGGGACTTACGAATGCGTGTGTTATATGAAACTACGCGGACGAGAGACGCACGGAGTCGGTCGGTCGGTCGGAAACCAGTTTTTCGAATAGTTTTGTAACAAGTGTCCGAGGCTGTTACGCGTCCCGGTTCGATCGGCCGAATCGACGAATGAGGCGGAACGTGGGTATTATTTCGAGACTTTGGCAGGATGAGGCTGTGGAACGCGCGGGATGGATCGGCACGGAAAAAATCCGTTACGACTCTAATAGTTATCGGTGCACGCATATACGTGCATCGATGTCGAGCTAATACCCGCTGCTAAAACCGAAGCCATTTTTAGGCACGCCTCACATGCAAATACGTGGGATACATATTCGCGAATAGACCAATAATTCGTTGCACTTCTTTTTCCACACGCGTATGTATGTGTGCGTATGTGTGTGTGCGCATCGCATTGCACGTGTTCGCGGTGTACGCGTGGGTGCGAACACTGCGAACGAGCGATGCGCGTCCATCTAGATGTGTATGTGTGTGTGTGGAATATTCTAAATTCCGGCGAACCGCCGAACCGATATCGCGTCAAACACCCTGACGTTGAAAGCCGGCAACATCAAGAAACGCGACCTTCCGCAGAGCGCGAGAATCACGAACCGTCAGAAAGTTGCGCAAAAAAATATTTGTTTTTATTTATTTTTTGCGTCGGATACATAGCAAAGTAGGCGAGTGCTTTGGAAAAGTAGCGTTCGAGTTTAATGACAAAATTTTTTTAAAGCTGAAGATATTTGATATTGACGAATTTTGAATTTTTAAACTTGAAAAGTTAATATTTTACTCTTGAAATTTTGCGGAACGACACGGCAATTTAGTATCGAAATAATATAATTATAATTAGTTTCGCGAAATAATTAACTTGCGACTTTACAACCCGTGACTTTCTGAAAGAAAACTTCGAGAAAGGAACAACCGCATTATCACATTGATACGACGTTCTATAAGTCTTGACTTTTTTATATTGATACGAATATATCGCCGCGTTCTTTTAATGCATTCGATAACGACACGCGATATCGGCGCACTCCGAAAACGTAACCCGACTTGAGGAGGGAATCGCGCGTTTCGACAGTATGTATAGCGTCGATGAAGAACGCAACGAAAGTAGAACAACCTCATTAGCGGACGGCGCTATAAGCTTTCAGCTGTTTTTCCCGAGGGAGTTGAAACGAGGTGAGCACGAGCCGCGAATAAACGCTAAGTTAAAAAGGAAGTTTTGCTAGGCGAGGCAGCGCCACGTGGGTGGCGCATACATTCATTTCCCGCGCCATTGAGGGGCCTTAGCAAATTAATATTCCGAGTCAAACGCCATTTGTTCTTTCCTGGATGGAAATGCACTCGAAACGATCGACCGGCTTTCCGGTAGAAATTAATATCTCGCACACTCTTGAACGAGGCGTGCTTTTACGCATAATGAGACAAACAATAATCGCGTTTTATAAAATTATAAAATGAAAATCACATACGCGCGTTGCGTTTCATATTGCGTCGCTCCTTTCCATACGGAAATTAATAAATTTGCAATGGGGAAAAAAAAAATTCGTGTTCTTCTCTCGAAATAATTGCGCGCGAACTGTCGCGTGAATTTCAATAGAGAGTCTCAATCGCGTTGTGCAAACTATAGTAAAATATTTTTCTGTGAGAAAGCGTGTGTGTGTGTGTGTGAATATTAATGCACTACATTATAACGTAATCGGCGTGGTCGCGCGCGTGTAGATGGAATTTATTATAGCCTCGCGGTGTGCACGGGAGTCGCGTGTGTCATTAATCAGCTCCGCCACATCTCGGAGACACGATAGATTGCCTTTAATCATTCTAATTAGCGATATATGCGAAGATTATAAAGTAGTCGATGTGTGTGTGTGTGTGTGTACGCGTGTGCGCGCGGTGAGAGGAAGAGAGAGAGAGAGAGAGAGAAAGAAAGATCACCGCGTGGCGCGAGACTGTGGCGCGACGATGCGCTATTGCGGAGGATTTATGAAATTGAAACGACACAGAACCGAGCGATGCAGTTCCGCCGAACATGAATTTTAATTCCTCTGTGTTCACTCTTAATTAACTTACATAAATTATAGGGTAACCCTATAATTTCGTCGACGTTGAATGATCGTTCACCTGTCACAACTTAGTTAACACTTGCCTCTCCCTCCCGCTCGAGAGAACATACACATGCACTCGGACGAAGGAAAGCGGAGAAATTGCAGCAAGATAAATTAACCGGGACAAAAAGTATTGTTTCTCGTTTTTTCTCTTTCTCCGATTCCTTCATTTCTTTCTGCTTTTTTTTTGTCATTAAATAAGCACTCCCCCGACATGCATTACACTCGGGGGCGAGACCGAAGGAAAATGCGTGAGTTTTTGGCACGGATTGTACTGCACACAAAGTGACGCGAACTTTTGTACGGCGTTATACGCGACCCACCTCCCTTCCTCTTCTCTGGTTCTCCCCCCTACCACCCTAAACTCTCCTAGCCACCCCGTGTTACGGAGGGTGGTGCGGGGGTATGAGGGTGGCAAGGGGAAAAAGAGAGAAAGAGAGAAAGAGAGAGAGGGAGAGGGAGAGGGAGAGGGAGAAAGAGTGAACGGAGGTTCTCATATTTCCAGTGTTTTAATTTTTCACGATATCTCTCCGCACTGCTGTCTGCAAATTATTTGTCATCCTTCGTTCTACGCCCTTCGCCTTTTAGCACGCTCGGGTGCCGTTCTTTTGTTGATTCCTTCGGAGAAACGAGATGCACGGGCGTACGAAGGACTCGATTGTCGCGACGTGACGCTCGGATCGATAGTTAGCGCGTGTTAAAGGTGGCACAAAAATTGCAGCAATTTCGCACAAACCTCGCGAAGACGCTTTCTCCTTCCGCCTCGCTTGCGTCCGCTTCCCTTTGTGTACATCGCGTGCAGGGTACAGGGAAATTGTTACTTGCGCCTTTATTGCACTCTCGGAAATAATATTGATACTGATTAAATTAAAATTAGTTGTTATATAACAATTTTGCGGTAACGCAGTGCGATCATTTCAAACTTTCATATAAAATTTAGCATTTCAAGCTTTTATATAAAATATAACAATTCTACAAGTATATTTTGCAATAATCTTAAACAAAATGTAAATTATCTACAGCTCTCTCTCTCTCTCTCTCTCTCTTGATTTCAAGAAGTTTTAGCAAACTTCGAGTGATTCCCAATTGTCTCGAACTCTACGTGTGTGAAAGAAACTTTGAAGATATCCGATCTTATTATCTACCGGTAAGTTCTCAACGGAATTCTCAGGCAAAGAAGATAAAAAATTGTTTTTTCGCTAGGCCCTCGTTGAGAACCACTTGGGTTCTCTTCTCCTTTTTACTCTTTCTTAGTGGTAGAAACAAAGAGAAAAGATGACAAGAGAGAAGAAGAGTGCGCGACGGTAAGAGACGTTGGTTGGTTGGTCGGTTGGTCGGTTGGTTTGGTTGGTTGATCGGTCGGTCGGTCGGTCGGTCGGTCGGTTGGTCGGTCGATCGGTCGATCGGTCGGTTGGTCGGTCGGTCGGTCGCTTGGTCGAACCCTCGGGGGCCGAAACAGCTCTCGTTCGTGCGTTCACCGTTTACACTTTCGCGTGCAAAAGGATCCCTTC